AGTTTGGCTTACACTTACTATAATGATATGCCAATAATGACGTTGTAATTGTGTATCCCTATAGGTGCTGACAACAGCCTTTCCAGGTTCATACTGCGTTGTCTGCAATGTTGCTTCTGGTGTTTGGAGAAAGTAATACGCTACATGAACCATAATGCTTACATCATGGTGAGTTAGTTTATGATGATATGTATAAGATGTGGTCACAGACATCTACTGAAAATCTACCAGTTGATGAAAAAGAGCAGTAGATCTTGCACAGCAGGGGGATTCAGAACGCCGCTCCTGTCAATTCATCTGGCGAAGACAAGATGGATGAACTACGTCTCCTCAACAAGGCTACCAAGGACTTCAGCAGATCCGGGCCGAGCCTTCAGTTAGAAACTGTTTTTATTGACTGCAAACCTGGGGAGTTTTCCTCCTTCATTGTGGCCGGTGTTAAATCCCACCTCATCCCACCCCACTGTAATAAAGGATGCACTTAATAAACTGTTTGTATTTAGGGAGCTCGTGCACTGTTCAAAGTATCTAAGGAAAGGAGCTTCAATGCTTCCTTAGCTCCTTTAGCACAGGAACCAATGGAAATTACGAGTTTAGTTTATTGCCACTGCAATTCCTTGCAGTGGCAATATTATAAGTTATTATAATATACGTTTTGCTGCTGCAGACTGACGTCACTAACGTGCGTCTCCCTCCGCATCAGAACTACGTAGCTTCTTAGCGGAAGTGGAGTCGCATTCCTGCAGTTTTCCTTTCCTAACTCCTCATTAATTCTCCTAACCATCTTCCCTGACCCCATGACATTTTCCTCAAAGGTCAAGGAATAGTGGTTAGGAATAGATGTTAGAACGTAATTTTTGGAGCTATTTGGATCCAGCCTGAGCCAGTCAGCCCTTATGAGAGCTGAGTTTTGTCTCTTCTTCACCAGGTGGCGATTTATGGCAAGAACTTCTGTACCTCGGCCAGAGAAGCCTTCTTCCTGCTGATGAGGAATGTGGTCAGGTGAGGCTTCACTGCTTCTCTCTGGGTCTTTTCCAAGAAAAAATCCTTTTCCAAAGGTTTAGTGTTGGAAAAGGACCACTTTTATAAAATGGTGTAGTCTGGTTGAGTACATCATCAGTAGTTTGTGGCTCTCTGGCTGTGAGGAGCACACTGGTACGCTGTTCAGATGAGTGTGTCTCCACAGGGTCGCCGTTCTGGACCGAGTAACAGACTTCCTGTTGTTTATGGGCAAAGTGCTGATAGCCGGAGGAGTTGGTAAGTGACAAAGCAAGACCTAAACCTGGAGCCTTTACACACACAATACATTATACAAAAACGCTAAATAGTTACCAAAAGATATTTGGAATCTGAACCTTTCATACCAGCCGCAGCCAGGATGCTGTTTACTCTGGTTAACAGTTCTTAAAGCAATAAGGTACGAGAGGCTGTACTTTACCGTCCAATAATGTAACAGTTCGGGGCGTTGTTGGTCCGACGCATCACACACTAAACAGGTGTGTTTCACCCGCAACTTATTTCTCAATATTTCTTATTCAGAAAAATACAAAGAAGAGTGTCAGAGAAGATATGTAGACAGTGAGATAATGTGTGTGCGTGTGTGTGTGTGTGTGTGTGCGTGTGTGTGTGTGTGTTTTACAGGTGCGATTGCTTACCTCTTCTTAACGAGGAAGATTCCCGTTATTCAGGAGGAAGCGCCCAATCTCAACTACTATTGGGTCCCCCTGCTGGTCGGAGGCCCACACAACACAACGAAACACACACACACACACACACACACACACACACACACACACACACACACACACACACACACACACACACACACACAAGCTGTGCTTGAAAGGAGCTCTTTCTATTTTACAGAAAGAAAACATGTATTTATCAAAGCACCCCAGAAGGTGCTTCTCTTTTTTAATCACACATGTTTATATGTTATATGTATATATAAGTAAAGAGAATTTAACTGGCTGTAATATCTCCAGTACCCCAGTGGGAGCTCGTCACGGGGCAGATGGTGGTTGCAAATGATGGTGCTCTCACTGGTTATTCAGCCTTCATTCATGTCACTGATAACAAAAACATGAAGTATTTAACCAAAAACAAATGTCTTGCTTTGTGTTGGTAATCTGCCTGTAAAGTCCCTCGGCAGTTGTCCAACCTGTGCGTCTCTCCTCAGACGGTGGTGATCGGTTCCTACCTGATCGCCCACGGTTTCTTCAGCGTCTATGCCATGTGTGTGGACACGCTCTTCCTCTGCTTCTGTAAGTGAACAGCGTCATTACTTTTCTTTGTGCGGCGTCTTAACTTCGCCCAGGTCGTTTGTACGAAGCACAGCGGATGAGTCATAGAAAGCACACAGACAGTGTTACGTTTTTATGGATTTTAAGGACGGATTGCTGACAGCCGACTAACTTTAATCAGATGAAACATGTCCCAGTACCTCTGGGCCCAGTGCTCAAACTGGGCAAATGAAGTCAAGCGTCCTTGGACCAGTTTTGTGTTTTGCCAAAGTGACTCCTGTAGTCTTCAATCACATGATGGTCTATTTAACACTAACTTACCTCTCTTGTCTCTATTTCCCATCCGGACATCTCCATTTGACCATTGCCTCCATCCTGTCTCCCACGGGGTCATACTTATCGTTCATCACAATCATCCACCCGTCATCCCTCCATCCCACGCTTCTATTTGATTCATCCATCTATCGATCCTACCAGGTGATGACTTGGAGAGACATGATGGCAGTTCAGAGAAACCTTTCCTCATGTCCCCAGAGCTGCATAGAATTCTGGGAAAATCCAGTCAGTTGCATTGATTTCCAATCCTGCTGCTCACTGCATGAGCAGGTAGTCTGCTTGGTCTTCACCGGCCAAAGACGCCACAATGAAGAGATTAGAGTCAACGGAAGGACGGCGGGGGGGTCGGATCCACTGTGGACATCAGAGGGCCGGCTGGTGAAATGAAAATAACACGTCAGTCAGACGGGAGGACTTTTCCAACAATAACGAAGCTGCTGGATTCAGGAGCTCTGCAGCAGCACCGAGTCCGGCTCCACTCAGGCTTCTTGATCCGACGTAACAGAAGAAGTTCAGCACAACTCTCATCTGCTAAAACACTGTCTGTGGAAAAGTATCTTCTTTTCACTACCAAATAATGCCCCCCGATAGATTCCCTGTTCACTTTTATAAGCTTCATGGATTTTTGCATGTGTGTTTTTTATTTTTAAGTTGTTTCAAATATAATAGCACGTTCATATCTTAGAAAGAAAAACTGTAATGCTGTGCACAAGTAAATGGTAAATGGACTGTACTTGTGTGGCGCTTTTCTAGTCTTATGACCACTCAAAGCGCTTTAACGCCACATGACATCATTCACACACTGATGACAGGAGCTACCACACACAGAGCCACCTGCCCATCAGTAACTAACATTCACACACTAGTCACAGCTACAGGAGCAGTGTTGGAATAGGTTTCTTGTCCAGGGACACATGGACATGTGGGTCTTCTAACACCTCCTGACGTTCCTGTCTGTTGGGCCACAGATTCTCATCCACATCACGACGTCTTCTCCTGCGAAAAATAATCTTTTAGTGTCTTATCCAGCCTCTGCAGTGATGTTATCATCTGCTGCTTCCATGGCAGCCGGAAGGGTCTTCCGTGTACGTGGCTTTCGATCACACGCTTTCCATCTCCGTGCTGAGAACAACTCCTCCATGGGGTTTAGGAACGGGGAGTAGAGTGAGAGGAACTCCATCAGCATCCTGTTTAAGGTCGCAAACAATTGATGATGATGATGGAGCCGACATTGTCCCAAACTATCACGTACTTTGGCAAGTTCTCTCCAATCTGACCCTCTTGTTCAGGGATGAGATGCCTGTAGAGTGTAAAACAGCTCTGTAGCGTTTGGCCCAATAAGTCTGGCTCTTATCTCATCAACACGTAGGTGCCCTGCTCCCAAACTCCTCCACCACGCAGCCTCACTCCTCTTCCTCTTCCTCTCTGGCTGTTGTCCTTCCATTGTCAGACATTGTAACATTGTGTTGAGCTTCGACTATATATACACTTGACATTTAATGCTTAATGAGATGCACATTCGTCACCTGGGAGCAGTTTACCAATTTAGGACAGATTCAGAAAAAGTGTACAGAAACATGCTTGATACATTATATATCATATGCGATGAACTAATGCCTAAACGTTGTGGGCGGTGAGACTATCCAACAGAGAGCCAGTATAATTATATATATATAATACCTTTTGATCAACATGACATAAGCAATTGAAAAAGTAGGACAACTGAAAAAATGTACCAAAGCATTTGCAACTTGTTCAAAGAAAACTGCTTTTTTGATGTGTATAAGTGACACAACGATGTGGAGATTGAACAGGTAGTTTTGAGAATTTCAATTCTGAGAGACTGAGGACAACTGTAAGCAGACTAAGCTTAAACCATGCGTCTGAAATATCATGACGTAAACTTTCATTTTTAAATGAGCGGCCATGTCAAAAGCACGTGGAACGACAACCACGTCCCAGCTGTAACGACGTGTCGGTAAATTGGTTCTAGTGATGTGGATTCGAACATTTTCACATTATTCCCAATAGTCTCAGTGGTATCCGTGAACTGGAAAAAGACTTTATGAAGTCATTCTTGTGTGACACTAGTTTATGAACCTATATTTGGACTGTGGGTAAGTAGTGGAGACCTGTGAATGTGTGTGTAGCGCCGCCCTAAAGCGTCTCCTGCTTCATGCTCACTTCCACTCTATGAGGACATTGACTAACTGGACATCATTCTGTATTCAAGAATACTTTAAACTAGAGATCAAGACCACGTTTGCTGAGGGAACAAATCAACAGAGGGGGTTCTCTCATTGACCACACGCCCCCTGGTGGACAGTAGAGAGGATGCAGCTTAACAAACGTCAACCAGGTCACTGAATATTTCACAACTTGCTTTCCATCGTTGAGGCGAGGTACAAATGACACACTGCATCTCTTACAATACATGTTTATTCATCTTCTTATATAAAGAGATTTGACATGCAGAGCTACTGTACAAACAGACAATATTACCGCAAGTAAAAAAATATAAAAATCGAATATGTAAATCACAGCCTCCACATAAGAACACCTTCATTTTGCTTTATGCCACCTACAAAACAGATCGAGACTAATTTCTTTCTTTAAAAGATTCTCTTCATAATATTCAGATCATCAATGTAGCAGCAAACAAATACAGTCGTTGTGAAGATATCAGAGGTTCAGAGTCAGCCACGTGTGCTTTTAGTGCATGTTAGCATATTGTATTAACCTATGGTAGCATGTCACAGTTAAACATGTTAACTCTGTTAGCGTGTGCGGTCACCCTGTGGAGAGCTGTGTGGAGGTTATGGATATTCTCTCATTCTTCTTTAGCGTTATGCATCATGAACATAACAGAACACAGATAACCACAGAGGTTAAGCCATCCCAACGACCCGGTACCGTCGGCGCCTCGGTGGATTAGGAGTTCTTAATCCAGCCTCAACACGGCAAGTACTGAAGACTTCACGGGGACGCACACGGTCTCAGTCTGTGTCGCTGCTGCTGCCCGGCGAGGCCGCAGGGCTTAGCAGGGTGGAGTACTTCAGAGGGACGTCCAGACCCACCACGGGACCCACAGCGCTGAGCCACGACAGCACGTAGTTCACCGGTCTGCACACACACACACACGGGCGCTCAGGTGAGGGTCCGTTTGTCTCCTTGGCTTTCTGCCTCCATCAAAGGGGTCATTTCCTACCTGTGTTGTTCGTGAGCCGCCTGCAGCACCGGCCTCATGACCTCCTCCGTCCTGCAGGGGTGGAGCATGAAGAAGGGCTGACCCAGCAGAGGATGCTCCTGTCACACAGGGGGGCAGTCAGTGGAGCTCTCAGGGGGGGGGAGCACTCATGTCCTGGTCTTACCTGCAGACTGATGGTGTTCAGCGGGCTGCTCTGAAGCCGGAGCCTGTAGTTGGGATGGACGGAGCTCCACATCGCCTCCAGCGACAGGCTCCTCCCCTCTGGCGTGGTGACACGCAAGAAACAAGAGGACGCAACGCTGTGACTCCAGAAAATACTGCACATGCTTTACAAAGGAAACCGATCAACGCTGCTGTGTTAGACTGTAATAAAAATAAGTGTTTTTTGTGTTTGTAGCCGCTGTGGCGTTTTGCTTGTCTGTTGAGAATGTCGTATACTTATTTATAAATCGCTCGTATGCACACGTTGCAACAAGTGGTCTCTAAAAACGGAATACTTGTTGGTTTGGAATCGGTAATCTCTTATAAACGGTTTCTTAAAAAAGGACAGTGTGCAGCATTTGGTGGCTGCTCCTGATGGTGCAAGAGTTAATTTGTTGGCTGGTGAGGTAAGAGGTGATGATTGGATTTGAACAATGGTATCAGAGTTATGGTTATTTCAGACATATTCCATAGAGGCCTCTAAAAGAGTCAAACGATGATGAAAAGTCAGAATGTTTCATGCTAATAAAATAAAGTTATTGCACTGGTCAAACCGCTCAATTACGACCTACAGCAGGGTCACATTCTTTCTCTGATTGATTATGTACACATGATCAGGGTGGTGGGTCACCAGGTGTCTATCGGCTGCGTGGGCTTCATACCGTCTGCCGGCAGTATTTTAGGAGCCTCTTGTCTCTTCTTGGCCGAGATTCTCACACTTCCACCTTTTGTTTGTGGGGTTGTTGATGAAGTTGCGCCGCCCAGTTTGCAGCGAAGTAAGACGCAATCAAACCACTCAGAGCATCCGACCATCAGCAAAACCATCAGCATCCAACACACTGTGTGTGTGTGTGTGTGTGTGTGTGTGTGTGTGTGTGTGTGTGTGTGTGTGTGTGTGTGTGTGCATGGGTCACCCTGCGTGAAGGCTCTGAAGTAGAGCACAGGAGCCGCGTAGCTGCAGGAGTGCAGGATGTGATACTCGTACTGGAGGACCTGGCTGCTGCCTGCGGACACCCCGCAGACCCCTTCATCTTCATCTTCATCTTCATCCTCTATGACCCGCCGGTCAGTATCAGCTGCCTGGAGGAAGCGTGGATTACTAAACCCTCGTTTGAATACCACTGAAGCAAAGATGGAGAAAGGATGAAGGATAAAAGCTTCACCTCCTCCTCCTCCTCCTGCTGACCAGGACCGGACGGACCGGAGGCGCGCGGCTCCGAGTCTGAACCGGATCCTTCCGGGTCGAGGAAGACCGACCTGACAGCGGTCTTCCTCAGGTAGCCCTCCTCCGATCCCTGCAGGCGGGTCACAAAGCACGTTAACCACGCCGAGGGGCCCGTCTGCGAGCCCGTCCGGGAGAACCTCCTCACCTGCACGGGCTCCCAGCTCCAGCCGTCCCGCAGCTGCTTGGACCTCCGCAGCAGGAGGCGACAGCAGCGCCGGAAGTCCCGCTCGTCCAGCGCGCAGCTCATCGGACCGACGGAGGACGCGCTGATCCGCGCTGCGCTTCAGTCTTAGACGAGTTTCCTTTAAGGTCACGATCTGCTTCACTCCAGTAAGTGACGTCAGAGTGCGGTTGCATTTTGTTTACTTTGAAACGTTTCTCTCCTTCGCGCTGAGGCCACAAGCACCTCTGGGTGCAGCCCTCAAAGCTCCGAGGACACCGTCCGGCTCACACGGGGAAGGAGGCGTGTCTTCCTGCGCCGGACTTACTGCCGCTTCCGCTTCGACGGCACCAGCGGCGCTTTACTTCCGGGTGCCCTGATCACGTGACTGCCACCGTCACCCTGTCACTGTAACTTACCGGCTTCATAACGGAATAATTGAATGCAAAGGAAAACTGTCCAAATGTTAAGAAAGCTCTTTTTAAAATAAAGGTTTCAATAAATCTTCCTCGAGGCTGCGTTAGTCGGTGCGCTGTCACGTGTCGCCACAGCCGCCAGGGGGCAGCACGTGTCTCAGCAGAGCCGTGAAGGGTCGTTACAACACTGTGTGTACCAACAATAGTCATTGCAATTAGGACTAAACATTGACACATTAACTCAATTAATCATGATAATAATAAGTAAAACACTGTATATTATAATAAAAACAAAACTCAGTCATGAGGTTGTTCTAGTAATATATGCAGCTTTCATACATATTTGGATTGTATCAAATTCAGGGACTCAAACTGATGACGTTGGGTGGGAGATATACAGATATAAAAATCCTTTATTTTCTTCACATCAGAGTGAGGATTTGCTTCTTATTCATTGTGTGTTTATAATAATAATCAAATGGCTTAAGGAGATACAAAGAGAAGCTGTTTCAAAATATTTGATAGAAAATACACTCCAAACCAGAAATACGTCCCAGAAATGTACTCGACATTATGTTTTAATGACCTTCTTTTGTTTGCTGTTACCTGGTAAACCTGTTGGTGCACCCTTTATGAAGAAAATTAATTCCATATATAAACGATGTGTGGAGAGGAGATGCTATTTGTCCCACTAGGTTCTGTGTGGCGTTGATTAGAGGACAGCAGCAGAGTCAAACGGGTCATCTGAGTAAACAGGAGACACAGGAGACACTAGCTTGGTTCAGCGCTCTGCATTTCTCCCGGCCTCTCGGCCTCTAAGCTGTCGGCATCAGACTTACTCGTTTAGTAGTGAAGCTTTAAACTTCTAACGGCCTTTGAGTATCACAGTGAATTGTGATTCGGATCGCAATTGAATGTCTGCGCAACAGCCATACGTATGAAAGTATGACGCTAAACCAGTGGAAATAGGACGTCTGTCCTCATCGTCCTCAGCTCTACACATTCTTACCAGTGTGTAAATATATAGTCCCCAGCCTTTGTTGGCTCCCTCTCAGTCTGTTCATTGGAGGTGTGACCAAGTCTTCACCAATCACTCCCTCTCACTGCTGTGACGCAGCATGCAGCTCCTCAGCAGCGATGTGCACCTCCGCCTCTGGTCCTGCTCTCTCTTTGGAAGGCTGCTCTCACAATGCAGCGGCCCGTGAGACTCCTCTGACCGTTCTCACGCTCGGGGCCAAAAGAAAAAAAAGGGGAAGGGTCCATCCGAGAAGGAACCGAAGCTTAATGTATACACTGCTCCATGTACATTTCACTGTACATTTATTTATACATATTCTGGACTTTATCTGGTATCTTGCCCTTCTGGTTAGATTTGAAGTCTAATCTGTGTTTCTAATGATGTCAGATGGGGTCTGTGACCACGTCCTGCTGCTGCGCTCATGATGCAGGCACACTGTCGATGTACTGAGGTTTGATGACGCACACACTGAGCACACACAGGCAGGACAGGAATAGGTGGGGGGTTTTGACCAAGTGTTTATTGTCCATCTTCAGTGGATTTCAATGCACATTTAATGTTAAGATATGTTACCAAAATATAACTTGGAACCAAAAGGGTAGTACAGATGTATTGTGCTTGTATGAGGTACTTCTCCAGTCAATGCATTAAACCAGGAGATGGAGTTTGGAGGAGCGCTAAAAAAATCAACATGGTTAATAGACTGTATAGACTTCTGATCACTCGAAGCGCTTTACAAAACATCTCAGCATCCACGTCCATTCATACATTCATTCATAAGGATGACAGGAGCTGCCACACAGTGACACCTGCCCATCTGTGAGGGACATTACAGATATATATATATATGTTTGATTTGAGGGTTGACTAACCCTTCACACTTGACACTGTGCTTTGATAGTCAAGAAAAGGGCTCCGTAGCGATATCATGGTCACACCCGATGTCTAACTTTAAGGGATGGACACAAAAGACAGCAGTGAGAGACATAGCAAAAAGAAGCCATTTATTGAAATAATAAAAAGAAACCAAACATGAACACTTTTTTTTTTTCTCAATCAAGCAAAATGTAACAGGTTCCACGTTGAAACACACGGTCAACACTACGTCTGAGACACTCCCGCCCACTTCGACCAGTCAGTCCTGTAACGAGGGCAAAGAGCGACACACCAGGGGTATGTTCGCAATCCTTTGTAACACATAAACCTTCAGACAAAAAAAAAAGATGAAATCCAACACATGGCTTTTTAAAAATCAAATATATACATTTGTTCTTACAGCATTTACACATAGACGAAAAATAAAAACACAGCAAGTACCACAGAGGAACTCTATCTGTCAATCCAAAAGGTTCAGAAGAACTAAACGGGAACAGAATGTAGCGAGAGGAGAAACTGAAGCAACTAATGCTGACGGTGAGGAGCAGCAGGGGATTCTGAAGGAGACGCATGGGGAGGAATAATCAGGGTTCTGGACAGGAACATGCTAGAACAACCCCGAGGCCGAGCGAGAGGACGCCGTCTCTCTCCCGCCTGGGTTCACTTCACTTCCACTGCGGCCTACTTAGCAAGAAAGATGTGTCAAAAAATGAATCTCCATACAACACCCACCAAGCCCTCTTGCCCTCACGTGTTAGTTTGAACTTGTTCATGGCAGATCTGTGATCACTATGTCACACATTTTAAGGCTAGACTGGAGCCACTGGAGGCTTTTTCAAACTATGACTTTCAGGAGGATATGTGCTCGCGCTGTATCGTATCGTATGTTATACTGGGATTCTCTGAGCCGCAGAGTGCGAGTCTGTGGTACCGATGTCTCACTATCTTTGCTCCTACGGTGGTGTTCTTAGAGCCCAGCATCATGTGAAGGTCTTATATTGGTTTATTGTCTTTATTTCAGGGCGGACATGAAGAAAGCGGATCCACGAGAATAAGCAACAGTCCGAGCAAGTGAGACAATCTTAGTATCCAAAGAGAGCGCTCAGGTCATCCAGTGCAACAAAGAATTCCAACCACAAGGGCGGTTTTCTTGCTTCAACCTAGATTGTATTTAGTTATTTTAAGCCCAACTATGATGTTTTCTTTCAAAAACTGAATTAAGTGAGTTTGTTGCCTAAGGCCAACTTTCATTGAACCCAAAAACGCTGTTTCGAGCACAACAGAAAGACAGTTGTTCTCCCTCTACACAAATCCAATGACTGCATTTTGTGACTATTTTTGCTCACATTAACACAGTCTTAGAGAGGAAGGCTTGAGCAGGGAGGTATTCAGTTGGTGGCAACCACACCACTAGATGGCGCCAAATCCTACACACTGTCCCTTTAAAGCCTTGAGGCTAGTTTCTAGTGGAGAAGTTAAAGGACCCATCGTATCCCCATTTTTCCACAAGTTGATATGGTTCCTTGGGGTCTCAATGAAATGTTTGTAACATATTTTGGTCAAAATACCACAAGAATCATTTCAAACAGCACCCTTTTTACCCTGTCAAAAACACCCCCCGCAGATTGACCTGTTTTGAGTGCCTGTTCCTTTAAATGCTAATGAGCCAACTCCCCCCTCTCCCCGCTCCCCTCCCCCCTCCCCCTCCTCCACGAGATGCGCTCGCCTGGCTGCTGCCTGCCCAGTGGTGGTGGTGGGGGGCGGTCCAAGGCCATGTAGGCAAACTCCCTACATGGGCGTGCTTCAAAATTGACGTAGACGTTGGTGGTGATCCCATTGGACGCACTCAAGCATATCGTTTCTGACATCACACCACAACAAGCCGCAGGAGTTGTTTTTTTCCAGCGTTTTTGTGTTGGGAGACATGCCAGATACCCAAATTAACGTACAGAAGCACTAAAAAAGTGGAATTTTCATAATATGGCCCCTTTAAGCAGATTTCATGGGTCTCATCTCTCCATATTGTCAGCTGAACATGTATTTATTATGCAGGGAGTCCTTGCTGTGGACACACTTAAGGGCGAGTGGAAGCTGGCAAACTGACACACATGCAGAATTGTGGACGATACAGAGGGTAATCCCCCCCTTAGTAAGAAAGGGGACACATTTTTGTTGAGACACGTTTCGGAGACATAGAGTGGCGTCTTCTTTGAAGTAATGGACAAAGCCTAACCCCTCCTATGCCACAGCGCACTGTAAAAGTCAGACAGCATCATAGTATTTCTCTCATTGTAGGCATTCGCCTGGTGGTCTACATCAGTGGTCCCCAACCACCGGGCCGCGGACCGGTACCGGTCCGTGGGGCGTTTGGTACCGGGCCGCACCACAGAAAGCTTAAATATATATTTTTTTTCTGAAAAATGTTTTATTTTGAGAATTGACCGGATTTGCTACTAATTATGTGCGCTCGTCCCTCTGACATATTCCCCACACGTCACAGACTCATGGTTTTTCTGGTATTTTTCCGGAACCGGCGATTTTCGCGACACAGGAACACAAGACTCCTCCCCCCCCCCCCCCCCCCGTCGGCCGCAACGACTACTACCCAGCCCCCCCGGCGGTCGTTCCGCCAGTTAGCAGAAATGCTAACTGGCTAACTCTGGTTAGCTTCTCCAATTTGGACTGAATTGAGTGAGTGTCTTTGGAGGGAAGATTGACCATTTTTTGGAGCTAATGCTGTTAGCTACTTTCATTGGAAAAGAGTTGGCAACACTAGGTTGACTTCAGCTCGAATGATTGGAAAATGTTATCACCATTAGATAACATTAAGTACATTTGACCAAATCTTCTAATTGTAATGACAAAACTGTCCCAAATAACGCTTACATAATTACATTGTAAATGGCTGGGTGGTGGACAGTGTAGAACCGCCTCTGAAGGACCACATCTCCTCACACTAAAACCTTCCAGGGAAATGGTTTGTTGGTCGACATGAACAGACTGATACTGACATTTTTGAAACATTGTCACGATTTGATTATCTAACCTTAACGCCGTGTGGATAAGTGCTCGGGACTATGATCTTTGTTGTGTTTAGATCGGTCCAAATCATTTGGTGTCCTCTGTGTTTTCGCCAAGGCCTCATTCAGCAACATGTAGCCCATAAAGAGCGAACGCTACTGTATTAGTGCGTTCTTGTTTCATAAGTTTCTCTACATCTTGCTAATTCATTTCTTATTGTTACCAACCCATCGAGCTGAATTGATCAACTTAGTTTTTTTACAGTCATTTATAAAAAGTTTAACTTCATCACTGTCACAAGGTGGGCCAATGTGACTTTCCATAGTGAGTTTTGGCCGATAGAGTTCAGTATCTGTTTTGCAAAGATGTCAGGACCCTTTTCAAGATCGGTGTTTACAGAGACATCAAAACTGGGACACCAGCCTTCCTCAAAGTGGACATTCGTCTTACAGGAAAAGCACACCAACAAACCACTAATCAGCAGCATGTTTCGGCTAACACAGGAGCTACGGAGCCGATGAGGGTTAGGGCCGTCACTTTTGAGTTCTATTCCGAGGTCAAAAATACCTGCAATTCTGATCTCTTGTTCTTTTTGCGTAACAAGGAGGTAACCAGTGGATTTATGGAAAAACCCCTGAAAAAACACAGTGCTGCCGCGTCTTTTACAAAGATCAGAGTCACTTCTTCCACTTCTGCAATGGCTTTCAATCCTGCGTTGCCATACATTTTTTGTCATTAAAAGTGCCGGAGAGGCTGTAAATGGGATGTAAATGGTGGAGGGGGCTACATAGAAAATAATTGACAATCAGCACATGGTGCCGGGGGGTTTTGGCCTTTACACAATGACGGTGGAAACTCCTGTTAGCTTGTCACGCCACGATGCAACGGAGGCACCGGAAACGAAGTCAATTCTACAGAAATAACGTACAAACAAGTTCATACACTTTTGTCTTCATCGTTTTACAAAGTGACCGTCCTAACACTGCTCAAAGAAACATGCACTCTAAAATGTGTTTTTGACATCCGCCTCGCGCCTGACTCATGAAACATTCTGTCCGTCTCCACTACGTACTCGTAGGAAGACAATCCCACTTCCAATGGTGATTAGTCAAGTCTAAATGTTTTCCGTGAGAAAGACATTTTTAGTCCAGCGCCAAGGTCACATTCTCTAAAACTGTGAGAGATGTTGGTCCATCTATCCCTTCTGCAACATGGGGCAGTTTGTCTGTAGTTCCATTCCACCGTAGAGCTTTTCCTAAACATGTGACACCTTTTGCGTCTCTCTCGCCTGTCTGATGCTGTACAGCCACTTTATGACTCGTGCGTTCCGCTCCACGGCCGAGATGCCATACGGTACCCGCTCCCCAGCCTCCTCCTCCTCCTCGTCCCCGTCCGACAGAACATCGTTGGAAGACCTGCGTGACCGATCGCAGTCTGAGGAGATCATTGAAGCTGAACGGAAGTTCAGGCTGACGATGTCAGAGTTGGCCCTCGCAAAGTTCTCTGGACCGACTGCTTCCAGCTCCTCGGGGTCGAGGCCGCAGTAGTTAAAAAAGCGCTCCACGTCAGCCCCGGCCCGGGCGTACCGGTCTGACAGGTCTGACTTAGATCGGTGGAGGGAGGAGCGACGAGCCACCAGTGAACCGAGCTCTGGGTTAGCGTCGGTTGAAGGCTCTCCAAAATCACAAGGTAGCGACTGAGGGGCAGTGTTGTCGCAGAGCGAAGGGGATGGAGTCGGACGAGGGGATGCAGCGACAAAGACAGGGCGGGGGGAGGGATGGTGGCAGGGTTGGGTTTGGGAGGGAGGGGCGGAGCTGAGGAGCTGCTGGATCGCGCCGTACGAAGTGGCTTGCCATTGCACAGTCGCAGGAGGTCTGAGGAGGAGTGGGAGGTGAGGAGAGGTGGTAGTGGGGAGCGAGAACGATCTAGAACTCCTTCACCCCGTCTGCTAAGGTTAAGGTTCCCGCCCTGTAGTGGACTGCGACGCCCCCCGCTGTTGATGGGAGGAACCTTCAGGGAATGGGAGAAGGATCGGAGGGAGTGTGAGGTGCTTGGACTAGGAGCGGAGTCTGATGGTTGCTCATTAAGTGTCATTGTGGATCGGTAGGTTAATGGCATCCTAGGAGCAGAAAACAAGAGGATAAATAGATAGTGAAGTCAAATTTGGTAGGAAGACAAAATCCAGTATATGAACTGACGTACATGTGGATATAAAGAGTGACTTAACAGCCTCGCACATGAGCGCCTCCCACGTATCACTGACCAATCGACGGTGTCGATATTCTTACCCCCAAGCGTTCTTGAGTTAGTGTTAATAATACTGACACTGAAGTCGTAGCAGCATGTGGGGAAGACGTGAATTGTAATTTTGGGGAATACTGCTTAGCAAAAAGAAAACTAACATTCAAAAGATATATTTTTCTTGAGATTGCTGCAGGACGCAGAAATAGAAGAGGCGTAAAATGGACATGGAGCGATTTATTATTGTTAATTGTTAAGGTGACAGCCTAGGAAAAGGGCAGACGCAGCTTTGTTGCAAGATGACAAGCTAGTTAATTACTGAGCTTGTCAGGCTTTTGGAAGGACAGTTAAAGCCAGTGCTGCCACTGACTACCAGCCCGCTGTTTGGCTCATGTGATGTAACCAGTGCAGCATTAAAGCATAGTGAAATGTGTAAGCTTGCTCTGTTTCTACCTCTCTGCCATCTAGCTGGCTAATTACACCATGCGTTAATGCTACACTGGTTACAGGAAAAAAAACAAATAAAGTCAATCATTTCTTTAAGTTGGTCGCTCACCACTTGGAATGGAATGGAAAAATAAATGACTATTACACAATGAGGCACAAGCATAATTGGAATAAGTCAAGGGACCTTCTGGCCTTGAGCTTCAATAATGAAGTAGTAAATTACCTTGATGGTGTCCAACTCCTGGCCATTCCACCAGATGACCTCATCAACACAGCGCTCTTGGCTCCGGCCCCTAGTCCTTCAGATCCGGCTCCCGAAGACGACGATGAGTTAAGCAGATTTTTAAGGATCTCCAGGTTTAAATTCCCTCGTTTGCTGGAGCCGCTGCTCGTTGCACACGTGTCGGACTTGGTGTTGTTATTGGACGCCTTGAAAGGCATCCCGCCTCCATTTGCTCCTCCACCAATCCCAAGGCTTCTCTTGGACAGGAGGGTGTGACCAGCGGGAGGCTTAGCCAGCACGGGTGGTTTGATGGGCTCCTGCTTGGCGTTGATAACTTCCTGGCTCTTGACATACTTGGCCTTGTCAGCTTCTAGTCTTTCAACAGCACTGAGGCGCTTTGGGTTAGATTCCACCTGAGGCACAGATTCAACATATATATATGTCAATATATGTTATGAACAACATGGTTCAAATATTTGTGGTTATATTTTAGTTAGAATGCATTGGGATGGAATCATCATCTAAAACGGCCAACAAGACGGTTGCCTTTATTTGTTTGAAATGGACAACACTCATTGTTAGATATTATGCCAATGGACTGTTTCCATATCAGTACTAATATACACATCATTACTTATTTGTTTTGTTGGCCACACATGTCCCTCTGAAGACGTCCTATTTATTATATACAGTTAGGGGTGTAACGAGTCATCCACTGACTCAATTAATCGATTTATATTCCTGCGATCCAACTGAATCGATCTGTGCTCCGCAAATTGGCATTCCGGGCGACATCTATCAATTACAAATCGATTGAAATGGTACATAATCGATTTGTATCGATACTTGGAAACTGCACATTGGATTTAAGCACAAAAACGGTGTCGATGTGTGTTTGTTTGTTTTTTTAGCACTTTAGACACTTTAAACGTTACTCGATTCAGTCTGCCTGTCTGTGACGTCATCAGTACGCAGCGGCAGCCGCGCGAAACTCGGAACAACAACAAAACACGGCGTGGAGGAGACGACTGCGAGCGAGACATTTACAAACCAACTTATCGATCCAGCGCGTGGAAACATTTTGGCTTTTGCAAACACAGAGGTGTTCTAAATAAGTCGGTCGCTGTTTGTAGAATATGTAGAAGACAAATAAAAAAACACGGAAACACGACAAATCTTTCCGGCCATCTACTAAGGCGCCGTGGGATTAAACAACGCCGACAGTCAGGACCTCTAGCAGCGTCACCGCTGCAGCAGCAGCAGGTAACTCCAGCTCTGCAGACACCTCAGGCCTCGCCAGCACCAAACTCCACCATCACAGTAACAATTGCCGAGTTTATCTGTAAAGACATGCGACCCTACAATGTGGTTGAAAATCCGGGGTTCTGTGAATTGATCCAAACATTGTGTAATTATTGTGTAATGTTTACATTTAAACTGGCGTTTACTCAATTGGTGTTTGCTTGTTTATAATATCTATAATTAATTTAAACCTGATTTCCTTACAAGAAACAACAGGGGTCTCAGAAACTTGCCCGCACTGGACTTGCCCGCACTGTCCAGTAAAGTTACTGAATCGATTGCAAGTCACTGAATCGAATCGTTCTAAATTAACCCAGATCGTCCATGAATCAAATCGACAACCATGAATTGCGATTCGAATCGAATCGTTGTTAAAATGAATCGTTACACCCCTATATACAGTGCATGCTGCACTAGATGTCATGGCACAAGCCAAGACAGTGTTAGCCATTTATTCATTATTTTGCACCAAAAGGCTTTTAAACGGTATTACTTGTCCCTGCTCTCAGGTGTTCCAGATCCACCATCAGACCCCATAACGTATTAACGGGGAACGTATTCTATTTCAAGGAATTATCATGATTATTTTCTTTTTGGGGGCTTTATCACATTCAAAAAGTTCCATTTGGCATGCATATCAGGACTGGAGGAAAATTTGATATTTTTGGGGTCTGTTTGGGTATATCTATAGCGCAATCATAAAAATCTTGTTGATATCTCATTGTTTTAAGATGCGGTAATGAACTTCTCAAGGGATGTAGCTTAATCTGGCAGGACAGATAACATCCAAATGACTTTGCCTGCCAAATTTTTTACAACACTTTAAGATACCCCGTGTCAACTACAGCACTCCGATTTGGGCGTGGGTTTGTTCTAGTGGTGCTGTTGTTTCACACACACACACACACACACACACACACACACACACACACACACACACACACACACACGCGCACACACACACACACAGTGATGTAACAGTACCTGTCTCCTGAAGTAGTCAGGGCCCTTGTTGAGTATGCGAAGTGGTACCGCAGAACTGAATGCCGTTGCAGGGCCAGCAGTCTTGCTATCTGGCAGGGCTGGAGGCAGTGTCTCTGTCGGCATGGCAACGAGGCGACCGGGGCGGCCAGCCGTGGTGGAAGCGGGTGCGGGGGGGTCGACAAAGGACGGGGGCACTGGAGGACCCCCAAAACATGAAGACACAAGGTGGAAAAGGATAAAGTCTAAAAAGAGACGAACCCCATGGCCTTCCTCGCCGCTTGTGGGGCCCCGTGGGGCTGAGCCGGACTCGTTGCGTGGGTGAGGGGGGACTGGTGAATTGAAATACACTACTGCATCGCCAGAGTCAACAACTGACCCCTTGTTGAGGTCATCGAAGATGGGCCGATAGATGGATGCAAAGAGGGGGAACGAGGAAGGGAGGACACACAGGGTGTGTTCCAGTGCAGTGGTGTGGATGAGTGCTTCCACCGGGGCCGAGGAGAAGAAGAGGACAGTGGAGAGGAAAACCCCGACGCCTCTCCACGCTCGCTTCAGCTCTCCCGTCAACTCACCACAGTATCTGAAACGAGAGAGAAAGACGAGAAAGGGACAGCCAATGAGGGTCGAGATAGATTGTGACATCACACACCTAGCAGCAATAGCAACAATATCTAGGACACACACACACACACACACACACACACACACACACACACACACACACTGCCTCTATAAAAAGGATGACATAAACATCAGCGTCGCACCCCAGGGAGCACACAGCTGGAGCCACCCTGCTTTGTGTAGTGCTGGTGCCATCAGTCTTTGCTGTCGAATACACGTGCTGCTAATTAATACGTCGTTGCTATCGGTAGCGCAGTGGTTCCTAAACGTTTTCAGTCAGGGCCCCCTTTGAGGATATAGGGACATTTTAAGACCCACCAAATCTCCAGTGAGTTTTTTTACCGCTGCTGCTGTGATAGGGTTGGTGATGAAGCTGTGACCCCCCCTGTCAGCCCACAGCGTCCCCCCCCAGGGGGTTGCGCCCCTCAGTTTGGGAACCACAGTGTTAGCTTATACCGGTGTTAGATGCAGTCGTCTCTCACATGTCAGTGGACTAATAAGGCGTTCAAACCAAAAACAGCACGTTAAAAAAGTTTCACCCAAAAAGAGTCTCAGGAAAATTGGTTGAAAAAGAAGCAACTGAATGGTTGTTGTCAGAGTTTCCAGTGAGAAAAAAGGTTTTACCAATGCAGAAAAAGAGTCCAACAATGGAGAATGATCTAGAGAAGCGGAGAGGAATTTGTTGATGAACTGAACTACATATGTATTTTCAAAAGCAATACTTTTCCAAATCAAAATATACTCCTCATAGATGAGTTACTTTACCTTTACTGTGCTCTGCTCATGTTAACGCATAGAAGAGCTCAACACGGTCAACAATGGTTTTGCACCACTTTGAGAATTTAAATTTGAGTGGTTCCGCTTTCTTTCTATCACAGCCTCCTTAATCTGGTGGAATACATGATAATGTTTTGGTTAATCTGGGGACATGAAGCTGCTCATCCTGGATTGAAAAATCTGTATGGAATATTAATTATGAAAATGAAAGTGGCTGCCTGTGTGTATTATCTATTTTCTTGTGTCGGATTGATTAAAATCCTCTAATCTGCCAGTCCAATCCGTACCCTGCAGGGATGGTTTACACCCCCTCCCCCACACACACAGCTCACCAGGACTCTCATTTTCTCTTTTGAACAATAATTCCAGCTCTGAAGCAAACTGGGGAGCTTTGAATGGTTTCCGCAGGGTTGTGTGTGAGAAGCTGGAACCTGGATGGACAAACTGTAGGGAAGTCCTCTGGATTTGCCCTGATTCATATAATGAGAAAGAATATCAGAAAGAGTCGGTGTGTTTGCTTATGCTTACATGAGCAAACTATAGAATTTAACCATCAATGAGAAATTTGAGTAAAATGAGCCGCAGAGTGTAAACCCTTGTTGCTCCTCTAGCGGCGCTCTAACGCTGAGGACGACCTGTGGGGAAGTGGAACATGCTGTTGCTGTTTTGCCCTCTGCAGCTCCTCTTACCGGTGCAAGGGGAGCAGTGAGCTGCCATCATGCTGCAAGCTTACCACTGGATGTCACCAAATCACCTTATTCGTTTCAAAACGGGCCCAAATATGTATGGCCAACCACATAACTCTTATTTGTCGTAAAAAGGGGAGGGGGGGCTGGTTTGGGGACATCAGGATTGCATTACTACGCTTTGCAGATGGGGTTCTGTTGACTACTTCAGAACGTGACCTTCAAGGAGGTTTGGGAGTCAGTCACCGCCCCATGCGTGGGAGTTCAAGTCTCCTGGGGTCTTCTTCACAAGTGAGGGGGAAATAAGAGTGTGAGATGGACAAAAGAGGGAGCCGAGCCTGAAGGCAACGCTCTTGATTTAGCAGTCCATTGACTTTCAGACGTCACGAGCTCTGGGTAGTTGGGTGTCACAGATACAAGCGGTAGGTTGGCGAGGTCGGTCTCAGACACGGAGCGTGGGAAGAGGGCAGCTGAGGTTGTCCTATCATCTGATAAGGATCCCTCCTGGAGGCCTCTGTGGAGAGGTTCTCCAGGCTCCTACAGCTGGTAAGAGGCCCCGAGGTAGAGCCACACCAAGCCGGAGGGGGTACACATCTTATCTGACCTGGGAACGCTCCGGGTATTCCTAGGAAGAGCTGGGAAGCGTTGCTTTGGAAAGAGATGGTTTGACAGCATTTGTAGGAGAGGTAGAATTTCTGTATTTATGGACAATGACCTTTCTACAATTTACCGGTTGTAAATGAAGACTTTAACAATCCGTGAATGCATCATCTGTGATAAATGTACTGACCAAGGATATGTCTCTAGTTCACCACACAGTGAAGGACTGAGTTCATTTGGATTAGAAACATGTGTCTTGCTCACTTCCTGCACAGCTCTCTATCAGACAGATGAAGGAGAGGAAAGGTGGACCAACTGTACCTTCTCCCCTTTAACCCAAACCGACTTCAACTGTTATCATGCTAAGGCAGGCCAGAGAAACACGGTCTCTTGCTGAAGTGAAAAATAAGCCAAAAAGACAGACACTACCTCTCTCTGTAATCCCATGACAGCAATGTGAGAGAGAGAGACACAGAGAGAGTGAGAGTTCTTGCCAGAATGCCTGCAGGAATATTCGGTCAGAGAACACTTGGCTGTTCATTTCAGGCATTTATGAACTGCAACGACTTATTATTGTGTTTACCAGGGCAGCTGGTATTCACATTGGCTGTATTTAGATTGCATGGCTTGAGCCTTAAGACCTCTCTCCCTCACACGGTATTAAATGTTTCTCGATTAGATCACAGATTGACAGAAACCACCACGACGCATCGTGATCCAAACTCACCGCCATCGAGAATGGAAAACGCTGTATTGCTCCGACAAAGTCAGCGGCAGCGCATTGCAGCTTTACTCTTTCCCTTTCGGTCTTTCACAACCAAACTCCTGGTCAACACTCTGCAGAGGGAACTTAAATTCAAAGCACCCCATTGTGTGAGTAGATTACATAAAAGGTCAATGCAAAGCCGCAAATATATACATCAGTAGGTGAGAATCTGTGCATGTTTTGTGGCGCTGTGTGGTGAAAGGCTATCAGCATGGAAATAACCCTCCGGTCATCGCTGATGTTCTGCCTGTTTCCGCACCGATCGAGCTGCGCGGAGAAACACGTATTTCCACTTTGTCTTGCAAACAGAGCTAAAAAAACATTATTTCAGATGCCTTTAGTCGTCCATGGCAATTCAGTTGTAAGACTTCCATAAACAAGAATAACGCAGAGACAGTGATTATTTAAACCGTGGGTTGATGGCAGAGTTGAATGGTTTCCATGGAGATAAGCCACTTCCTCGGCGTGAATAACCAAATGGCACCACGGATAGCAGCTGTGAACGGACGAAGGCAGACCTGTCCACCTCATGAGCAGATCACACCAGGTGTGAACATGTGCGTTCGTAAGTTTGGACCATTTCCGATCAATAGAAATGGGAATCATGGCACAATGCCGGTGCTCTGGTTGCATTCATCACGGTGTTCACGGCTCAGCCTTCGTTCTGCGTCGCTGAAACCAACTGCGCTGTGTGCTTCACGTCGTTTACACACATTTGGCCTTTACTCGGTTCATTTCATTGTAGTGTTTCTCTCCTCCTCATCTTTTTTTAGGTCTCTCTTGTATCACCACTTGGCATATAGCAAAGAATCAATAGCAAGCACACACACACACACACACACACACACACACACACACACACACACACACACACACACACACACACACTCTCTAGCTCTTTCTATTTCCTGTGTAAGCAGCGTGTGGAGCAGAGCGCTGCTCAGAAACCAACCAGCAGCAGGAGCCTTTCACGCTCCCACTGGTCTTCATCTTACTTCAGTGCTCCTCTTCAAAGGTTGACGTTTCCATTTATAATCACCTGGTTACGCACAAACCCTGTGCTAGAATAGGTCGACAGCTACTGAGGTAGTATATGATATATGTTTTATTCAGCAGAGTGCTGATGTTTCTTTATATATTGCAGACCTATAGCACAGATACCAGTGTGCTTACAGAATGCCCCAGAACTGACTCATTCTCATGTGTTTCAGCCATTACTGATGTCTGTAGTTAAAGCGGTTGTAGAAATGCCAGGTGAGAAACAGGTCAAAACATAGGACACCAAATAAAAATAAGAAAGTTGAGTATTAAAGCAATAAAAGGTACGAGAAGCTGTACTTTATCGTTCAATAATGTAACAGTTCGAGGGTGTCGAACGCGCAGCCCGAATGTTACATTATTGAAGATGAAGTACAGCCTCAAGTACCTCATTGATTTTATAATACGGTTACCAGCGAAACTAGAATCAGTAAGTAAATCGCTGCCTTTCAGCACAAAGTAGTTGTAGCCACCAAACGTTGTGTGTCTCATTTCAGTAGTCTAGAGACAAAAAGTCCCTGTACCTGCACGTAAACAGCATCGGGTCTCGCACCGTCTCATTCATTCACATCGATCATGACGTCCACCTTAATTGTCCGGTTGTGAAAGCTGGCATTGCCCGGAACCGATCAAACGGATCATTTGTGGGATTTCTGGGTTTTATTCGGCGATCGCCACCGAGCTGAAAGCTAAAATGTCAACTAACAGTCGCACAACATCTAACCTGCTACTTTGGGTGCACAGTGATACGGAACGCTCGGGTCAATGTGAACAGCAACTGTACATTATGCTGAATAATGCACCGTGACTCACTCAACCAATCAGAACGCTGGATTTCATCTACGCGTATTATAGAAGACATTACAACCTGCATGGTTGTCCTGTATAGACTATCTTGACCCAATAAAGCTGAGACTGAATAGAAAAAACGGTCACATTTCTTTTTACTGACTTTTACACTTTAGTTCTGATACTGATACCATCTCAGGTTTCTTTTATAAATCACAATCACCATGATTATGAATTTGCGGCTGTCCTATTGGCTATCACAAGGCTCTGTGCGGCTTGCTATTGGCTGTCGGAGCTGGACGC